AGGGCTTAAAGATAAGACTTTTGCAGGATCTTCGAAAAAACAACTGATTTTGAGGATTGCGGGGTTGCATTGGAAATACTTCTAAACAAGATTGGTGCGTGATTTCATCAACAAAAAACACCCTAGAGGTAAACTACGTAATTAACTTGCTTAATAATCATGTTTTATTAGTCTTAATTCTGGAATAAAGGAAATCCAAATAGAAGTATCAAATTATGAACGAGCTGCCCAGGCTAAACCATGGGCTAACTTATTCTCTGATATTGGAATAAAATTGAAGGACACTACTTCAAACTGTCGTTGAAGAAGTCTGCTAATGAAAAATAATATTAACATTAATATTAATATGTTATTATTTATTGAAAAATTTTAATTTAGGTCAAAAGTCAAAAGGTTAGGGAGTTGCGAAATGAACATCATAACTTTTTATATATGTTAGAAAGCAACTTGTTACCTCGACCATAGCAACTAATGATCATAGCTTGAATTGGCTTCGAAGGCGATCTAAAAAATATGAAGATGGAAGTTATTACATTCCCAACGAAAAAATAAAGGGAGTGTGATAAAATCGTGAGTAATACAAATACTTTAAATATATATACTATTGATGAGAATGCTAACATGTAATTTATATATTTTGTTGTGTTGAAATAGGTCGAGAAGTGTGAAGAGGTGAGTCAAGGCGCATTCCAAACAAAAAGACAGAATGATATATTGTCACCCGCTCTTGGCAAGAATGAGCACCCATGCATGTTATGCATGTGAGAGGTGTTGGTGTATATGTCACCCTCGGGGATGTGTTTGGTAAGGACGGGGAGGGTAGTAATTGTGTACTATGTTATGCATGTGTGAGGTGTTGATGTATATGTCACCCTCAGGGATGTGTTTGGTAAGGACGGAGAGGGTAGTAATTGTGTACCAGATAGTTCACCACTTATAAAATTCATTATTTTTTTTGGTTTTGTATTTTCCTACGGTCGAAACCTCCAGGGATGTGTAAGCTCTACTATTAGCTGATCGAGGGATGATGTGCTGCAGCACTTGGGAGATGAATCCAAAAAATTGGTTGGTCATCTAAGAAACTTGCCTCCCAAATTAGACTACATAGGGTTGGACCTAGAGCACACAATATAATCTTCCATCATTCTACTATAAACTCCGTTTATGTGATGTTGGATGATATCTAATCTAATCTAATCTAAAAACATAATAAGTGTGAATGAAAGTTATACACCTGATTTATGTCCGTTTTTTCCGTTAAGTTTTTTTTTGTACATTATGCTATAAAGGTTGTACATTAAAATATTTTGGACAAACATACCCCTACCGTTATAACTTCCGTTATCTTTTTCACTATTGTTACCATGCACATGCATCCACCATATATTTTCTTATCTTCTTCATTAATAATAATATATACACATTAAATATTTGAGTTATATGTTAATTATTACATAAATATAAATATCAAATTTATAAAAATGATTTACATTATTATTATTATTATTATTATTATTATTATTATTATTATTATTATTATTATTATTATTATTATTATTATTATTATTATTATTACTATTTAGAATAATTTAAATATCTAAAATCTAAATAAATTTAAAATTTTAATATAATATTGGGCACCTATTTATTGCGCATCGCGCATAAAAAAACTAGTATTAAATAATATATGGCAATTTATATCATGGATCAAAGTCTACATAACTTTATGAACCTTGAATTGAAACGACGAGGTACAAAATTCATAATCATAAGAGTTAGAATTTCATAACACAACAAAAAAATCACAATACAAGACACATACACATGTTGTATATATTTACGTATTTTTCAAATATGATTAAAGTACATAATTTGTGTTCATATGCACAAAATTTGTGAGTTTATTGCATTTTTGGTCCTACTGTTATAGGGGTCATTCCAATTTTAGCCCACTATAATTATTTTTGCCACATTGCGTCCACTATTATTAAAAGTGTTCCAATTTTAGTCCACGAAAAATCTTAAAGTGGACTAAAATTTGAACACTTTTAATAATAGTGGACGCAATGTGGGGAAAATAATTATGGTGGACTAAAATTGGAAAAGCCCCTATAACAATAGGACCAAAAATGAAATTCACTCCAAAATTTGACAACACAAGACATAGAAATTCATAACATGGCCCTTCCCGGGGGTGGTAGCTGATTGATTCCATTGTCATCTCCTACTCCATTGAGATTCAAATTGATGTTTCCTTGCCCATGTACCATCCTTCTTTGCTTTCTAAGATATTTGGCTCTCTTGTCAATCTTAAGGTCCAAAGGCAATAATCCTCATTCCCTCAAAGATCATGTGCGCATACAACACCAAGTCCTTAAATCCAAAAATCACAACTCAACAAACGAAACTTGTTATCGGTTAGCAAAAATAAAGTAAAACAAAAACGGTGGATTAGAATCCTAGAATAAAACTTTTACTAATGTTAATACTTTTAAACACCACTTCCCCGGCAACGACGTCAATTTGATTACAGTATATTTGACAAACAAATAAATATCCAGAGTATCGGGTTATCGATTCACAAGCGAGACTTATCAAGCACTAGCTACTAATCTATTCACGAGAAGCTAATCCTAACAAAAAGGGTGATTGATCAATTGTAAAAGTAAAACTAATTAAAAGAGAACAAAGTGAGCAAGTTGCTGAAAACAATAAAGTAAAAGTGAGATTCCTGGGATTCAAGTGTTTAATCACCTAGTGCCAATCTAGAGTGCAACATTTAATTTGGGGCTCAAACAAGTGTGAGAATGCATACAAGGAAAGGAATTACTCGCATAATTCCAACCTAAAATAAGTGAATATTAATTCTCATGATATAAACACTCAACAATTCATGAACAAGCATTCAAGACAAATTCTTAACAAATATACTCTCCCCAAGATGCAATAGTCAAATGCAATTGTGGGTGCTCTTAATTATGCCTTAACTCTCATTAAGACATGCATAAAGGTAGCTATCAAACGAGTAATTTAGGCCTTTAATTACTAGCATCAACAATATAAATCACAATTGCAACATAAATCATAAATCCCAAATGTAAATATATTAACGAAATTAAGAACTAGTTACATAGGTTCATAATATAAACACTTTCAACAAAAAATTCCTAAGTTGATTTAACCACCCATGGGCAAAATAGCATTCATTACAATAATATCAAAGAGTTCACAGGCAACAAAGAAAGTAAAAGAAAAAGGAAATGAATTCTCCCGAATCTTCCTAGATTTTCCTCGTTCCTCCAAGGTAACTTGTAGCTCTTGATGTGATCTCTTCTCCTTCACTCTTTTTGTCTCCAAAAACATAGCTTGATGCCTTAGGGTTGAGGGAAGATGGGCTTTTTATAGAGGGAGCCAAATAGGGATAAATTAGGAAGTTTCCGTGTAGCTTTCATCTCGCACAAGACGGTATTTTGACGCGTTGAGTCTTGTCTTCAATTTTCGAGTCGCTCACGGACTCGCCTGCTGGAACATTGCGAGGCGTCGAGTCTTCGACTCTCATACGGCCAATGCTACTGGAAATTTTGGATGCGCGTCGAGTCTGACTCTCGACGCGTCGAATCCTCTATATCATCACTATTCATTCCATTTTGGCTCCAAACTTATCTTAGAACTTCCCTTGCTTTTGCAATTGTTTCAAAACACTAACAAAACCGTAAAAACACTCAAATCAAGCATTAAACCATATCTTCATTAGAAAGCAAGGAAATAGGCATGGAAAGTGACAATTTAACGAACTTAAGCCCACAAGTAGATTCAAATAAGGAGGAAGAACATGCACAAATAAGCTCACATAGTCCACCACCTACTCGGAGTAGTTGTCTCCCTGTTGATCTATTCAGTAAGATTCAGGTAATATTAAAAGTTTTATAGTTTCTTTTAAACAAAGTATTTGAATAGGAGAATTAATATTGTGTATATCTTATTTTGTTTGGACAATTACATTTCGACGCCTTGTCCCATATGTTTGGTTGGTAATGCATTATCTGTAGTTGCAAGAGCAACGACGCATAAAACTAGACTTGATACTATAGTGTACGGTGAAAAAGTCTTACCTCATGTTAAAGTTTATGTGGATGAGATATTTAAAGGAGCAGAGGCAACTCCTTTACTAGCTCGAAGTCCATTTCATGACATATTGGAAGAAATCGTGGGAACTGTCACCCAATGACCTCTGCAATTAGTTCTTTAGAGTGAGGTAACAACTTTAATATCTTGTTCAATTTAATATCTTCTACTTTTTTTTTTTTTTTTTGAAAACATATCTTCTACTTGTTATTAAGCTTTTTAATTTTTGATTCGTACGGAAATACAAAACCAAAAAAGTGATGAATTTTAAAAGTAGTGAACTATCTGCAAGTACACAATTACTACCCTTGTTCCTGATGATGTGCTGCAGCACTTGGGAAATGAATCCAAAAAATTGATTGGTCATCTAAGAAAATTGCCTCCCAATATAGACTACATAGAGTTGGACCTAGAGCACACAATCTTCTATCATTCTACTATAAACTCCATTTATGTGATGTTGGATGATATATTAAATAATATATGGCAATTTATATCGTGGATTAGAGTCTACATAACTTTATGAACCTTGGATTGAAACGACGAGGTACAAAATTCATAATCATAAGGGTTAGAATTTGATAACACAAGACAAAAAAAAAATCACAATACAAGACGCATACACATGTTGTATATTTACGTATTTTTCAAACATGATTTAAGTACATAGTTTGTGTTTATAGGCACAAATTAAAATTTGACAACACAAGACACAAAAATTCATAACATTAAGATACAATTAATAATTTGTTTCAGGTACAAAATAAATACTCTTTAAGGTACAGACTTTCATAACACACAGCACAAAAATGAAAAAACTCACAACATTAAATACATACACATGCACAAGGTCCACAGTTCATTATATTGTTAACCTTGGTCATCCCATAATTATTGATAATATATATAATTGCAGATAGACATGCAACAGTGGATCGATCAGCTCAATCTTAAACCATTGCACTTGAAGAATTCTTCTTGGAATTGTTGTAGGACGATGAGCTTCTCTTCAATGGTGTCGGCCGCAAACATGTTATCACCGCTACTGTGATCTTAATTACATACCCAGCAGCAATAATCACGGCAAGTGTTGCAAAAACACAGCACCAGAATAAGGTCAGGATGTAAGCTGTGACCCACTCTTGCTAATCCCACGAAGTAATCATATTGAGGCACGAAACATAGCTGAAACTCGCTGCAGTAATGGCGACCCATATTGTGATCATCATTGCGTACATGAAGAATTTGCGATGAAGGGGTAATCCACTTATGAGTAACAGTATGACACTGAGAGATGCCAGAAAGCTTAACGTGTTGGCCACCATGAACACTTGATAAGCAACTGGTTTGTAATTAGACATCACAGATTCTCCTATTCTACCTTTGCCACTCACATTAGAACTAGGCGCCGGTGCTACATCATCATTCCTATATATATAATATATTCCAAGTAAATAACTAAACCAATCATCCGAAATCACATCTTCTTGGTAGATAAGTTTAGTTTCCTGCATTACACTGCCAGGGGGGCTAACAATGGCCTGAAATGCCATTGTTGCCAGCAACGAAGATGCCACCATTAACCCCTCACGCATTTCATCAAACCAATTCTCTGCATTTGGCTTCTTGTACTTGTGCATATCACTATTATTCTCTGATTCTTTAATAGCTTCCTTGTCCCTCCTCACAACTACTTCTCCGATTTCCATCTCTTTCCCATTATTATTTCTAGTTTGTAATAAGAGAGTGTCCATACCTCTTACCCCATTCCCATTTACAGCATTCACTTGTATTCTACTACGGTGGACCAAAAACTTCAAAGCCTACAACATAAAAACAATTTTCATGTCAGTGCCAAAACCTCAGCCCCAACAAATTAATTAAACTAATACATATATAAAACCTTGTTGGGCAAAGTCCAGTAAAGGACCAAATCCAGAACCGAATGTCGGACAATGTTATGGCGGTCTATAAGTAAGGAAATAAAGTTGGGCCAACTATAGCTTTTGGAATAATGATAAACGCTTCATCCTAACAAATGCTATGAGAGTCAAGTCAGGAGTTCTAGTTAGGTCTGATCTGAGTGGTAAGCTTTTGATCCTAACAAACCAGTTCTTGAAAATAAATTAAGTTTACCTCGCCATCTCGGTCTCCAATCATCTCCACAAGAAACTTGAGAGCCTCCAACTGCCCATGCTTAACACACATCTGCAAAATGCTCTCTCCCAAAATCTCACCATCTATCGCCATCACCTCACTTAATAATTCTTCACTGCCACAAATTTCATCATCCCCATCACTCATCTTCATCAGCTCCTTCAACACCTCAACTCTCCCTTTCACAGCTGCAAGGTGGAAGGGAGTGAGGCCATCTTTATCTCTAACTTTACAGATCCCGCGATCAGATAACAGTAAACATCTAACCAGGCCCGCATGCCCCATGGCAGCCGCGAGATGAAGAGGCGAAGATTGACTGGAATTCAACTCTTTGGCTAGCTCGGGCTTTCTCTTAAGGATTTCATTGGCAAAATCCTGGTATCCCAGCATCGCTGCCACATGCAGTGGTGTGTCGGAGTAAACACCACTAGCCATGCTTCTCTCCAGAATCAGAGGATCTTCATCTAAAAGCCTCTTTAAGCTTTCTACATCTCCTTTTAGTGCAGCTTGGAAAACCATTCTTTCCATTTTTGTTTTCAATTTTTCCGAATGAAGATCGAGGCTAGCTAGCTAGCTAAAACAAGAAATGAAAGCTAAGTTGGACACAACTACACAAGATGCAATGATGTGTAGGAGTAAACATTAGATAGCCATGGAATATATTTATAGGGCAGGCAATAAAGCAAGGTTGCACGGTTTTATTCGGATAATTTTGTTAATGGAAGGAAAATAACACTTTTTCTCTTAATTATATAGTTATAAGCTAATGGTCTTGTGGAGTTGTGGTCGAGCAGTATAGCTAGTCTAGTATATATATGCTTATTATGTTTTATTTGTGTTTAAATCTTAACTCTGCTACTAACATTAATTTTGTTGCTAACATTATGTAACAATTATATCAAAGCCTGCACACAGTACAGTATTTTCCCTTGGGTTTGCATGCCTAATATATGGTGTTCGTGATGAGTATTCTAGGACTTAGAACCTCATTACTGTTGGGGACTTATGGGGCTAATTATTCACAAGTTAATAAGGGTTCGACTCATCATTCTTTATGCAGTAGAATTAAGGCTTATTATTCCCATGTAATAATGACTCCCAATATGAGACAATCTAGAATTTATATTCTTTATAGCGCTCCAAGTCCAAAATGTGTATATAAATTAAATAGACACCATACATTGGGAAAAGGACAAGTAATTTCTGAGCAATACAACATATTTGTTCTCTCTGTATTTTCTCTATATTTTTTTATATACTCTTTATTTAAGGGTAATGTTGGCCAACCGTTAAGTGTCCAAAAATTATTAAACCAGCACTATTCATTCATACTTCACACCCCTGACTTCATAACAAAACTTTACAAGTTTAAGACTTTCCCCTCCCTAAACACACACATTATTATTATTATTATTATTATTATTATTATTATTATTATGGCATGATGATTGTAAAACGAAATCTCGTTAGTCGATCGAATTAATAACTTTTGTTCTCCACTATATATCTTGGAATATTCTTATCTGGAAATTAAAGTTGAGGCTATAAATGGTAGGGTATACATTTATTATTCCTTCCAATCTGATCTAAGAGTAGAAAATTTTAAGCAATCTAGCTATAAAGGATAATTGTATAAAGCAAGAAAGAAATACATAAACTTGATTTGAAACCGTAAACATATATATGATATATATTCTTCAATTCTTATCTGAGATGGCAACAATTAAAGCAATATGTAGCATCACTGTCAGAGAGAATTGAAGAATAAGGCACGAAAGAAAATTAATAACACGTTTTGAAACCAGAATATATATAGGATTAGATCGATGAACAGTGATATTGATGGAAGGTAACAAATCCATTATTTCTTCAATTCATCAACAATGGCCACACAGAAGTAGTAAACAAAATGCAATAGCTTCAATCATAACATGCTCGATTTGTCCCGTGGGCAAGTCCAGTTGATTTAATCGATTGATCACCTTAAAGTTTTGCTCTAGTCACAGTATAGAGGTTCGAATCCCACTAGCAACTTGAGGGTCATTGTGAGACCTTGACCGATCAAAGGTAATGAAGACCCCTAGTGTGTAGAGTATACATGCAAGAGATGAGAACTTGGAATTGACGGGGGGTGGGTTGAGACCATTTGGCGCAAAGTCTATAGCGCCAAATGTATTGTAGTATGGTGGAATTGGAATCCTTACCAATATTGATGTTTGGTTATATATGACCCTTTAAGGCAATTGGTCCTAATATTATTGGAGGCTAATCGAAGTGATGAAGCTGATCACAAGCTTACGGATGAAACAGATGAATAAGCATAGCTGGCAGGGGCATCATAGTCTTTTCTCCTCTAAGAGAGTTAGTTATAACCGTCACACAAATATCTTCTTGTAATATATATGCTCTCTGCTTGTTCGTTATCCGAACTGTATCTTTCCATTCTCATTACAATGAAACTCTTCTTCCCTTTTCACACACCAAGCTAGTCTCATTCGTCCATCATGGTATCAGAGCGACGGGATCGTCACTCTTACGCCACCGCACTATCGGAGAAGCCGATGATGATCAACCAGCTAACATCGCTACACCGCCGATCACTCGATCGCCAGTAGCAGCTTCCGAAACGGGCTCGCAGAGAAGTCCACGGAGAAATCAGAGTCTGCAACCTCAGAGGAACTACAATGGTGAGGAGATGGAGAATCCACTCTTTCTCAGCAACACAGACAATCCAGGAACCATATTGGTTAGCCCCCTCCTAGCAGGTAGTCCGAACTACAGCACATGGTGTACTTCCATGCGCATTGCACTTGAAGTGAAAAACAAGTGGTGTTTTGTGGATGGAAGCTTGATGCCGCCAAACAAAGATCAATGTCAATATTCTGCCTGGAGACGATGCAATCTGATCGTCTGTGCCTGGATCTTCAGATCTGTCCAGCCTTCCATAGCTCAGAGCATAATGCACTTCGAAAAAGCAAAGGACATTTGGGAGGACTTGAGGAGGAAGGACATTTGGGAGGACATCAGCGAGATGCTCAGAAGATCTCCATTCTGCAAGGAGAAATCCAGAACTTGAAGCAAGGTTCTATGACGGTGAATGAGTATTACACGAAGTGCCAGACGTTGTGGGAAGAAATGAACACGCTGAGACCGATTCCTATTTGCAAGTGTAATCCTAGATGCAGCTGTGAATTGGTTGATGAAATCAGGAACGAGAGAGAAACAGATCAGGTAATCAGGTTCCTGCAGGGGGTTAAATGATGATTATAATGCTTTGAGACAGAATGTTCTTGTGTTAGATCCACTTTCGGAAGTTTACAAAATCTTTGTGATGGCTGAAAAATTGGAAAGGCAAATCAATTTGAGTAACTTGAGCCTTGGAGGTTTAGATGTCAACCATGCTAATGCTGTACAGACCTCTGCTAATAATGAAGTGATCACTGCTGCTTTCAATAATGCCTATTCTGAGAAACGAAACAGTGTGATGAAGGCTAAGTGCACTTTTTGTGGAATGACGGGGCATATGGTGGAAAAGTGTTATAAGAAACACGGCTACCCCCCCCCCCCCCCCCGGTTGGGTGCACGGCTACAAATCTAAAGCTAAGCAAGGCAACAATGCTGCTGTGACAGGCAACACGGCAGACTCGGGAGTTTCTGATCAGCTGCAAAAGATCTTAGCTCTCCTACAGGCAGGTCAGGCAGGTCAGTCATCTGCTTCTAGTTCTGCCACTGCAGCAGTATCTCTTAGCCCCAAGTTTGATGCACTGCCTACTGCCAATGAAGGCAAGTATTCTATCAACTCTCTCTTACTTTGTTCTTCTACTTGGATAATTGATTCCGGTGCCACAAACCATATTGCTTGCTCTATTGATTTTTTAACTGATTGTCGAGATGCAAAAGGGGCTGAGGTGAACTTGCCTACTGGACAGTGTGTATCTGTCAAACATATAGGAGAAGTGAAGCTCAATGATAATCTGTTATTGAAAGGGGTTTTACATATTCCTGAATTCAAGTTTAATATTATTTCTGTGAGTCAATTGATAAGGGATGCCACTCACAAGTTAATTTTCATACCTGGACAGTGTATAATTCAGGGGGGTCTTGGGATGATTGTTGGTACAGCTAGAGAGGAGAAGGGCTTGTATTTGCTTTCACATCCTCCAACATCTGCAAAAGAGGTTCATGTTATGCAATGTAGTAGTTCTAAGCTTTGGCACATGAGGTTGGGACATTTTCCTGTTAATAAGCTCCACCTCTTTAGTGACATTGACATTAATGCATCTAGAACTACAGATATAGCGTGTGATGTATGCCATATGGCTAAACACAAACGTTCTCCCTTTCCTTTAAGTACTTCTTGCTCAAAAGCTTGTTTTGATCTTGTTCATTGTGATATATGGGGTCCTTTTCCTGTTTGTTCCCTAAAAGGAGAATTCTACTTCTTAACAATTGTTGATGATTATTCGAGATATACCTGGTTGCATATGATGAGAGAAAAGTCTGAAACAAGACGATTTCTGAAACAGTTTCATGCCTTCATATTCACTCAGTTTGGAGCTCTAATCAAAACCATTCGTAGTGATAATGGCTTAGAGTTCAAAATGGATGAGTTTTTTGCAGAAAAGGGAATCATCCACCAGCGTTCATGTGTGAATACTCCTCAACAAAATGCTATAGTCGAAAGGAAACACCAACACATCCTTGGTGTTGCTCGATCCCTTCGATTTCAAGCACAGCTTCCCCTAGATTTTTGGGGACACTGTGTGATGCATGCAATGTATCTCATCAACAGGTTGCCTTCACCAGTAATTGATTGGATCAGTCCTTACCAAAGGTTATATGGACACAAGCCAGATATCACTTCCATCAAAAGCTTTGGTTGCCTATGCTATGCAGCCACTCTACCACATGTCAGACATAAGATGGCAGCAAGAGGGAGGAAATGTATTTTTATTGGTGTTCCAGCAGGTATCAAAGGGTATATGCTCTATGATATAAAGGATGGCACAACATTTGTTTCAAGGGATGTTCGATTTTATGAGACTCAGTTTCCCATGGCAGAAGATGAAAGTTTCTCAACACAAAGGCAAATGCACAGTGAGCCTTCTCTCCCTAATATCTCTATTTTTGATGACCTTGATATTCCGAGGAGTCATCATGGTGATCAGCATGGTTCCAATAATGAGAAGGTGCTTACCCCTCCACCTATACATTTGAACTCTACTCCAAGTCAACCACATCTCAACACTGATGTCACATCTCAAACACAACAAGAAGAGAATATTGAGGAGCCTAGCAGTACACATGTTGGCCAGTCTGAAATTGATTTACAGACTCCTGGAGCCCCTCCTAATCAGCCTAGGCGTTCTCAACGAAGTAGACGTCTTCCTAACAGATTGGAGGACTATTATTGCGATGCTATCGTAAAGGAAGGTTCTTCTCCACATCTTTTATCCAGAGTTATTTCCTAGAATGCTCTGCATCCGTCACACAGGATGTTGTCTATGGCTATCACTTCTATCACTGAACCAAAAACCTATAATCAAGCCATAAAGCATCAATGCTGGAAGGATGCAATGTCTGCCGAGATTAAAGCATTGCAAGATAATAACACCTGGACTTTGGTCGATCTCCCAACAGGCAAGACTCCAATAGGCTGTAAGTGGGTATTCAAAGTGAAGCTCAAAGCCGATGGATCTGTTGAAAGGCACAAGGCTAGGTTGGTAGCCAAGGGCTACACCCAGCAACTTGGGATTGATTACATTGAAACGTTCTCACCAGTGGCTAGGATCACCACCATCCGAACCTTTTTGGCAGTGGCTTCATCTCAATCATGGCTCATTCATCAACTTGATATCAACAACGCCTTTTTACATGGCGATCTTGATGAGGATGTCTACATGATCCTACTACCGGGCTTTCAAGGAGGGAAACCAGGGCAAGTATGCAAGCTGTTACGCTCTCTATACGGCTTGAAACAGGCTAGCCGTCAATGGAACTTCAAGTTAAATTCTGCATTGACAGAAAAAGGGTTCGTCCAATCAAAAGCTGATCCTTCATTGTTCACGAAAGGAGATGGTCCTGAGTTCATAGCCGTTCTCATTTATGTGGACGACATATTAGTCTCAAGTCCAAGCATGGCTCAAATCCAAGATCTTAAAGATTTCCTGGACAATACCTTTAAAATCAAAGATCTTGGCAGCCTAGGATACTTCTTGGGGATTGAAGCACACATGGGGACTCTGGATTGAACATTTGCCAGCGCAAATATGCCTTAGATGTGCTCCAAGAATCTGGTTTTCTCAGTAGCAAACCAGTGAATACTCCCATGGTTCCCGGTCTTCATCTAAGCAAAGACGGTGGCACCACTTTCTCTGATATTGGCAGCTACAGGAGGTTGGTTGGCCGGCTCCTATACCTCACTGCCACACGCCTTGACATTTCTTATGCTGTGCAACAGCTTAGTCAGTACGTGGCCGCCCCAACTGATAGCCACATGGCTGCGGCCCATCGTGTTCTTCGATATATAAAGAGAGCTCCCGACCAAGGTCTCTTTTATCCTAAGCATAATACTCTCCAACTCAATGTGTTTTCCGATTCTGATTGGGCATCTTGCTTGGAGTCTCGGAAATCCACAATAGGATTCTGTTTCTTTCTTGGCTCCTCACTCATTTCATGGCGATCAAAGAAATAACCAACGGTGTCTCGATCATCTTCCGAGGCCGAATATAGAGCATTAGCTGCTACCGTTTGTGAAGTTCAGTGGATTCAATCCCTTCTTCGTGACTTGCATATCCATCTCAACAAACCAGCTGCTGTTTTTTGCGACAGTAAATCTGCCATAGCCATTGCTGAAAATCACGTTTTTCACGAAAGAACTAAGCACATTGACATAGATTGTCATATCGTGAGGGAGAAGGTTAGCCAGGGGTTGATCAAACTTCTTTCCGTTCCTTCACATTCCCAGATCGCAGATGGATTCACGAAAGCTCTTCCTATTTCTCTGTTCCAAAGTTTTGTATCTAAACTGGGCACTCAAGATCTTCATGCGCCAGTTTACGGGGGGGTATTGGAGGCTAATCGAACTGATGAAGCTGATCACAAGCTTACGGATGAAACAGATGAATAAGCATAGCTGGCAGGGGCATCATAGTCTTTTCTCCTCTAAGAGAGTTAGTTATAACCGTCACACAAATATCTTCTTGTAATATATATGCTCTCTGCTTGTTCGTTATCCGAACTGTATCTTTCCATTCTCATTACAATGAAACTCTTCTTCCCTTTTCACACACCAAGCTAGTCTCATTCGTCCATCAAATATAATGACACTCAAAGCACCAATATAAACAAAAAAAAAAAATCAAAACAAAAATCTAAAAGCACGAATCCATACTTAAAAATCATAATACCATCCAATTCAATATAATGAGATGGAATGTACATGTTTTTAATTAGGAAATGTGGATTTTAATTGAAAGGGTAATCACATCTCATTTGATCAGTTTATGTGTGTGGGTGGGTGGGGGTTACAATTTTATTATTCCAAAGACAAAAATACTTGACTAGACAATAGACATCAATAATTAAATGTTGGCATAATATAATTTTAAGTAAAAAGAAAATATAATAAATGGGACATGCATGGAAGTGTTGCTACATGACTAAATATTGCATCATGGATGAGCTCGGTTAAGCAGTCGAGGGATCGATACTGTCAAAATCACTTTGCTTTTCTCCCAAAGGAATTAGAAGGTCAATTAATAATGTTTTTGTCAAAAGTTAAGTGATTGAAATCATTGATTTATACAAATTAAGAGACAAAACAATGTTATTTTTATTCTAATATTATTATTATGACACGATGGGAAACCGAAATGACAGTTGGTCGAAATTAATGAATTTTGTTGTCCACCAAATATCTTGAAATTTCCATATTAATTACTCCCCGTCTCATTTTATGTGTGGAGTTTGGTATATGAGGCTTGACTAAAGTTATTTACAATTTAATTTGTCATAATATTAAGTTTAGATTTAATATGTGAAATTTATATATTTAGAAATTACATAAAAAGTATTATTAAACACAAAAAATTAAATTTTAAAATTATAAGTAAATACTAATGAAAGTAAGTAAAATAATAATAATAATAATAATTTAACCAATTAATAATAAGTATGAAAGATAAAATGGGATCGAGAGAGTAATAATTACTCTAATTCCTATCTGAGACTATGAGTAGAATAATTAAAGCAATATATAGAGGAATACAAAGCAGTGAAGCACGAAAGAAGTACGAAACCGTTAATTAGCATGTGGTATATATTCTTCAATTCATTCCTATTTGAGAGGAGGAAAATTATTAAAGCAATATATATTACGTATCACTGTCAGAGAGGACAGTATATAAAGCAATAAAGAAAACTAAGGGTGTGTTTGGTTGGTGGGTTTTGTTCATAGGAATGGGTATGAAAGTGATTGTTGTTGTTTGGTTTATAGGTTTTTAGAACACTACTATGGGTTTCGAATACCCCATCAATTGAAAAATCCATACCCAAATACAATAAGAGTTTCATTCCCCTATTCATTCTCAAGCACTACTATTAGTAACCATTCCCATTCCACCCTACTACCAAACATGTTAAATACTTTCACCAAAATCCATTACCATTACCAAGTATTTGATACCCATTCCGATTCCGATTCCTATGTGCAAACCAAACACACCCTAATAACATTCGGAAGCTCTGGTACAAGCCATGAATAAAGAAACTGAGTCTAGGCCAAAATTTGAAATTTTAATTGTAGACTGCAAGTTTATTATGAACCAATTTTGTGAGTGTGAGATTGTCCACGTTCTTTATTAGAGGATTAATAACTAATTAGTTAGTTAGTTAATTCTCTTAGTGGTTATCAGTTAGGACAGTTAGATTTCTGTTAGCATAGCATATACGCAACACTGTTACATTGCTTGCTTCTGTAAGAGAAAACATCTTGTATCTCCTTCTAAAAGTTCTCAGACTCAGAGCTGAGTAAAAGGCTTTTTCTTCTTTCAATTCAGCTTTTGTGATATGGTATCAGAGCGCTGAGCTACGATCATGGCTTGAAATGGCGCACCAATCAGACCACAAGCAGCCACGACAGGTCCGCCGCTGGCTGCGACATCGCCCGGAAATCCTGGCACTGCTGGAGTGAATTTTGATCCGAACGATGCTGCTAGTCCTTTTTTTTTCTACATCCGAATGAGAACCCCTCACTCGTCCTCGTCTGATATCTTCAGTTCTCAATGGCCGGAATTATCATCCTTGGGCCAGGGCAATGGAGATGGCGTTGCTTTCCAAGAACAAGTTAGGGTTTGTTGATGGCACAATTGCAGTACCAAATGTGGGAGAAGTGAAATATCCTTACTGGAAACAATGCAATAACATGGTGTCAACTTGGATCATGAGGTCTGTTTCCCCAGAGATCGCGCAGACAGTCCTTTAGGTAGGAACAACTGAGAAGATATGGACCACATTGAAATCCAGGTTCAGTGAGGCAAATATTTTCAGAATCTCTTATCTGCATGCTGAGATTCATCAAATTAGACAAGGCGATTTGACTGTAAGTGCCTATTTTTCTAAATTGAAAAGTTTATGGGATGAACTTCAAGTTATTAGACCTTTGCCTACCTGCAAATGTGAGAGGGTGTGCAATTGTGGACTATTAGATACTTTGCAACAACACCTAGAGAGTGATAATCTCTTAGTTTTTTTAAGAGGCCTCAATGAGACCTATGCCTCTGTCCAATCCCAGATAATGATGACTAAACCTCTCCCTAATATTGACGAGGCTTTCATGATGGTTCAACAACAAGAGAGGAGGTTTAACAGTGGAACAACAGAGTTGCTGATCCAAGAAGCAGGCATCATTCTTCTCACTCAAGGGAATGGTTCAAGATCCAAGAAGTTTTATCCAAATGGCAACAAGAAACCTATCTGCTCTTATTGTGGTTTTACTGGACATACAACAGAGAAATGTTACAAGAAACATGGTTATCCACCTGGGTGGAAACCAAGAAATAGAGGTGTTAGTTATGCTAACCAAGTGCAATTTGCCTCTGATGAACATCCTCCTGGTGAAAATGGATCCCTGACTTTGAGTCAGGATGAATATAGAATGCTTAGACAACTCTCAGTGGATCTGAAGGAATAACACCCCAAACTAATTTGATTGCTGCCAACTTTGCTCCTAATCTACAGATGGAAGGTACTTACTCTAAACCTTCTAGTTGGATATTAGATAGCGGGGCAACACATCATGTTGTCTGCAAATCTGATATACTGACCAATGCTAAGAGAGTTGAAGGTATGTTTGTTGAATTACCCAATGGTGATAAGATTAAAATTACACATGTTGGTTCTATTTGTGCTGACAGTTTGGTACTAGAGAATGTGTTCTGTGTTCCTGGATTCCACTATAACCTGATTTCTGTTAGTGAATTGATTAGAACTTCCAAGTGCAAACTGCTGCTATATGCTGATTTGTGTGTTATACAGGATCATGAATGTGGGATGATGATTGGATTGGCTAGCCTGCAAAGAGGGTTATATCATCTTGTAAAACCTGATTTTTCTGTTTTCAATAAAGTAGAGCATGTTAAGGCCAATGCCTGTATATCCAGTAGAATTTGGCATGCTAGAGTAGGACAATGTTCCTATGGGAAATTGAAATAGTTACCTCTGTATGACATGGATTTGAAAATAAATAAAGAGGATGTTTGCAATATATGCCACCTAGCCAAGCAAAAAAGGTTGCCCTTCACTACTAGTTCCACTGTTTCCAATGATTGCTTTGATCTTGTGCATATTGATATCTAGGAGCCATATCATACACACTATGTATGGACACAAGTACTTTCTAAGTCTTGTGGATGACTATAGCAGTGCAACATGGGTTTATTTGATGAGAAACAAAGGTGAAGTCAGAACACTGGTTCAGAATTTCTGTACTCTTACTAAGACACGGTTTGGCAAAGTGGCCAAGTGCATAAGAACAGATAATGGACAAGAGTTCAAGATGGGTAGTTTTTACCAAGAGAATGGCATCATTCACCAATCAACATGTGTTTATACACCACAGCAGAATGGTGTAGTTGAGAGAAAACATGGCCACATTCTAGCAGTTGCAAGGGCTCTTTAATTTCAAGCAGGCTTGTCTGAAAGCTTTTGGGGAGATTGCATACTACATGCTGTTTATATCATTAACAAGCTACCTTCAGCAGCATTAAAAGGTCATATCCCACATCAGGTCTTGTTCAAAAAGGCTCCTCAATACTGTCATTTCAAAATTTTTGGGTGTCTAGCTTATGCTGCTGTACAGAAGGGACATCAGAGGAAATTCTTACCTAGAGCTAGAAAGTGCTTGTTTCTTGGATATCCAAATGGGGTAAAGGGATATAAACTTTATGATCTAAACTCTAGGGAAGTGTTTATTTCAAGAGATGTGGTGTTTTATGAAAGCATCTTTCCCTACAAAGTAGCAAGTCAGATGAATGTTCAAGGATCATGTCAAGATCTTATCTTCCCAAGTGATAACAGTAATGTAGAAGAAAATCTGCAAAAGATTGTTCAAAGGGAAGAAACAAGAAGTGGCTGTGGTCCTACAGAATCTGATGATTTTGTACCTGGTCTTGCTCAAGACAATACTGATATAGAACAATCTATTTCACCACAGTCTAATCCAGATCCAAGGACCATTCCATCACAACCACAGTCCAATCCATAACCTAGGAGATCCAGCAGACAGATTTCAAGACCTGGCTATCTCAAGGACTATAACTGCAACTTACCTACTTATGGGACTTCTCCTCATGTCCTATTAGCAGTCCTATCTTACCAAAAGCTATCTCCAAGTTTCAGAACTTTTGCCACCAACATTCTTGAGAGCAAAGAGCCCAAGTCTTACAATGAAGCCATTCAGCATGAGTGTTGGAGGACTGCTATGCAAGCAGAAATAGAGGCTTTGCAGGCCAACAGCACATGGGAATTGACAACACTACCACCCTCCAAGCAACTAATAGGGTGTAGATGGGTTTACAAAGTTAAATACAAACCTGATGGGACAATTGAAAGGTGCAAGGCCAGGTTGGTTGCAAAGGGGTACACTCAAACTTGCGGAATAGACTATGTTGATACTTTCAGTCCAGTGGCCAAGATTACTACTATCAGGGCTTTGCTTGTTGTGGCAGTTGTCAAACAATGGGAGTTGCATCAACTTGATATCAACAATGCATTTCTACATGGAGATCTCCAAGAAGAAGTATATATGATTCTTCCCCGGGTTTTGTTCCTAAGCAGCCTGGACAAGTCTGCAAATTAAAGAGGTCTCTTTATAGCTTGAAGCAGGCAAGTAGACAGTGGAATGCTAGACTGACTACTGAATTAGTCCATATGGGGTTCAAACAAGTAGTATGTGACAATTCATTGTTCACTAGGGGATCAAGCAGAAGTTTTGTTGCATTATTAGTATATGTGGATGATATAGTCTTGGCCAGCATTGACAAGGACCAGATACAGCAGATTAAAGAACACTTGCATACAGTATTTCAGATTAAGGATTTGGGGAAATTAAAATTCTTTCTAGGGTTTGAGGTTGCCAGAAATCACACAGGAATATCTATAACACAAAGGAAATATGCCTTAGATCTGTTGCATCATACATGCTTTCTTGAAAGTAAACCTGTGAGATGTCCCATGGTACAGACAAACAAACTCTCCCGGGATGGTGGTACAGCCCTTGAAGATAACTCCCAATACAGGAAAGTGGTAGGAAAACTCTTGTATTTAACCATCACTAGGCCTGATATCTATTTTGCTGTACAGCAATTATCTCAATTCTTGGATAGCCCCACTACTCTCCACTTGTAGGCAGCTCATAGGGTTTTAAGATACATTAAGAATTGTCATGGACAAGGCTTGTTTTTCCCTGCAAATTCGAAACTCAAAATAAGAGGTTTTGCTGACTCAGATTGGGCAACCTGCCCTGACACAAGAAAGTCTGTGATTGGTTTTTGTGTTTTTTTTAGGAGATGTCCTAATATCTTGGAAGTCTAAGAAAAAAATCACCATTTCAAGGTCATCATCTGAAGCTGAATACAGAGCTCTTGCTCTTGCTACGTGTGAGATGCAGTGGTTGTTCTACCTTCTTGAAGTCCTAGAGGTCTGTTTGAAAGACACAACTGTGTTGTTTTCTGATAGTAAATCTGCCATTGCCATGGCAGAAAATCCTGTCTTTCACGAAAGGACCAAACATATAGAGATCGATTGCCACTTGATAAGGGAAAAGATCCAAAAGGGAGTCATAAAATTGCTGCATGTTCCTACTGAAAGTCAGACAGCAGACATGTTCACCAAGCCTCTACAGCCAATGGTGTTTCAAAAGTTTGTTTCCAAGCTGGGGTTACATTGTATGTACACTCCAGCTTGCGGGGGGGGGGGGGGTATTAGAGGATTAATAACTAATTAGTTTGTTAGTTAATTCTCTTAGAGGTTGGCAATTAGGACAGTTAGATTTCTGTTAGCATAGCATATACACAACACTGTTACATTGCTTGCTTCTGTAAGAGAAAACATCTTGTATCTCCTTCTAAAAGTTCTCAGACTCAGAGTTGAGTAAAATGTTTTTTCTTCTTTCAATTCAGTTTTTGTGATATTCTTCGTGAGAGAAATCAATGTGCCAATTACCTAGTTAATATGGGGCAAGGTAGCCATTGGAGAACAACGGTCCTAGTTCACCCCTGGTGACGTGAGAGACGTCCTGGAGCACAATGTTAAGAACATTGCTATAAGAAGAATTCCTAATTTCAAGGTGCTCTTGGCAGGTTTTGGAGAGTGAAGTGGCAGTCTCAATGATTGTCCTGGTTTACGCATCCTCTCTCCGCCTTTCATCCACCAAAGCCCACCGCTGTTCCGTTTTCACACTCATCACATCTACTCAAATATATCCTCTCTCGCCGAAAACAATATGGAGACTGCCACTTCACTCTCCAAAACCTGCCAAGAGCACCTTGAAATTAGGAATTCGACTGCAAAAGATTTCCAAAAAAAAAAATTGAAAAAAGTCCCAAACTAATAATAGAGAAACCCCAAATCTGCAGAAGCAGAGAGAGAGAGAGGGGGAGGGAGAGAGAGAGAGAGTGTGTGTGTGTGTGGGGGGGGGGGGGGGTTTAATCATTTGATTTTCTCAACGATGTCGGAGACAATCTTATCTATGTTGAGGGCTTTCATGGGTGCAAATGGTCTCTTCATATTCAGAAGGCTGGTGAACTTCTCCCCATTTTCTCCGCGGATCTCGAAGCATCCCCGCCAGGGCTTTTCCGGGTTGACCACCACGTTCACGTCGGCGAAGCCTTTCTCCATCCCCTCCTTCACCGTCAAAGCCCGAGTCTTGAACGAGTTGCACTGCTTGCAATGCTCTATCACGATGGTCTTCCCATCCCCCCGACTAGCAATGAACTGAGAACCAGACCAGCGATGGTGGAGGGGAAGATGACAAGTAATTGCCATGCCTGAGCAGAAACTTCGGTAGGTTTTGGGATGACAAATAGAACCAGAAGCCCAACAGAAACAGAAATAATCAAAGGAATAATCTTTGCGCCTTGCGGCTCCCGCTTTGGCTCAGTGGTGGTGGAGATGTTATCCCCGGAGGATGAGAAACACGTGGCAAGTGATGGGCCTTTCGAAATTGGCTTGGAAAGGGTGGAAATAAGCGGTTTATGTTTGAGTATAGGAAGTTTAGGCGCGGAAAGAGATGAAATTGGGCGAAGAACGGTAATTGTGGCGGGGAGGTTGGAAGGTAGAGAAATAGAGGGACGTGGTCGGAAACAATAGAAGTAGATAGGAGAAAAGGAAGTGGGTGAAGATGGAGAGTGAAATGACAGTCTCCATATTGTTTCCGGCGAGAGAGAAGATATTTGAGCAGAGGTGATGAGTGTGAAAACGGGCGCAGCGGTGGGCTTTGGTGGATGAAAGGCGGAGAGATGAGATGTTGCATTGCTCTGTTTTTCATTTTGGCACTCACAGTCATTCTTCTATAATTTTCTGCACATTCGCCGGTAGTGCTAAGGAAATGAGGAAGAAGAAAGAAGCTAATGAAATGACCATTTTAACCCATACACTAACACCTAACTAACTGAAGGTTGACGGAAAGACCAATACTGGAACAAATTTAATAGTTAAGGGTCTATTCTGTCCAAATTAAAAGACAAGGACTAATTTTGAAAAATTACAATAGTCGGAGGACCATGACTGGAATTAACTCAAACTAAAATCCTTTAATCCTTTAATAATTTAAAATTAAATTTCAAACCCCAGCCCCAAATACCTAATCCCTAATTCTCTGCCCTTCTATCGTTTCTCCAAGCCCCAACTCAGACGAAGACGACAACTGCCGAGTTCCGACCACAAAGCTGCTGCCGACGACGAAGCTGCTGCCGACGACACCAGAAGACTCAGCGTCTCCTCTCCGGTCTCCGCCTCCGCCCTTGCCGACGACGAAGCTGCTGCCCGGTCTCCGCCTCAGCCCCTGCCGATGACGAAATTGCTGACTCTGAACTTAGCCTCCCAATGAACCAAGGTAGCGCCTCCTGGATTACTCTGGTATATTTCATGGATTTGTTTTGTTTTTGTTTTTATTTTTATTTTTTCAAATTTTAGTATCTGTTATTATCTATCCTGTGTTTATTTTTTTGTAAACACAGAGAGTGTAGTGTTTGTTTGTTCCTCAAAGAACATAATGTATTCACCTGTTGAGGATGCCGGAAGAAGTTGCCAAAGCCTGTGTTTTTTTTTTGGTCTTTTTGGTTTCGTTCCATTCTCATTGCACTGTTGGAGGTGCAAGAGGTTGTTTTTGGTCTCTTCTGCGTAATTCTATTGTTTGAGCTTTGAGGAGCAATAAGAGTAAATTCTCTTGTTTTCTAACTTTTTCCCTTTTAAGATGGTGTCTGGCCATTGCTGTTATCTTCACTTTCATTTTTTTTAAAAATCATTTTTTTCCTGTGAAATTGCCTTCTGTTTGATGTGATTCTGTAAAAAGGGAAAAGTAATACCTTGCAAATCTTTTATCTGCAATATCTGATTACATATGCAATCTGTAGAGAAAGAAGCCTGACTAATCTTCATTTGGTTCCCATTGTTCATGTAGGGGGTAAGTAAATCAATCAATTTCTACATTTACTCTTCCTTGCTGAAATTAAGATAGATGATGGATTCGTGTATGTTGAAACTGGAGATGTGACACAATAAAATTATAATGCAGTTCGGGCAAACAACCCTAAACTGCGAGGCACTTCTCGAATTGAGAATTTTCCTAAATCCACTAAAAGCTTGATATTTAAAGTACACTTGGTTTAAGGAACGGGGATTACACAATATGATATCCTATCAAATTATTGTAACCTAAACACTTGTACTACTTTTCAAGGGAATTTTGGTATCTCTTCTCAATGACTCTCGTGCTCACAGTTAGGTGTTGAAAGCGTAAGTTCTTGTGATTGAGAGTGACTTCTTTTATAGGATCAGATATCCTTAGCTTGTGTATGAATAGGTTTGTTAATCCTAATCATAGTTGGATTATAATACCCAGTATGATTAGGACATGGTTTTTGCACTTAACATTTTGACAATTCACTTGAGGTCAACACTCTCCCCCTTTGTCAAACTTTTGCAAAAACCTAGATCCCTTAGACTTGGTTCTTGACTTGTTGTCTCCCCCTTAGTTTGATCCTTGTCTTGATGTGTCATTTTTCTTGTCATCTCCCTAGATCAGAGTTGAAGCTATAGTTGACTCTAGGGTAATCTAAACATCCATAAATATGGTTCATTCCAGATGGATCAAAACATCAAAGTATCCACCATCTGAAGTTATAGTAGATGGATCATGGCATCAACACAGAACCTAGAGAGTGCCAAAAATGATCAAAAACTGTTTGCATTAGAACACCTGAAATCTGTTTAAAACAGAACACCTGAAAGTGTCAAGAACATATCAAAACATCCATAATTTTTCAGATGGATCAAGACATCAAGAGCAGAACCTTGAGAGTGTCAAGAGTAGATCAAAACAGATTTCATCAAAACAGAAACTGTGAACAGGTCAAAACAGTTTTCATCAAAGAACACCTGAAATCTTGAGAGTGTCAAGAACAGATCAAAAATATCCACGACTGTTTGCATCAAAACAGAACACCTGAAATCTTGAGAGTGTCAAGAACAGATCAAAACATCCACAATTTTTCTCCCCCTTTTTGCTAAACGTTTGAGAATGTTCAGGCTGATTTTTCACTACTTTCTTCTTCATTTTCTTGGCCATTTTCTTCATTATCTTCTTGGTCTTCTTCTTCATTTTCTTCTTCTTCTTCTTGGCCATGACTGCCACTGTCTCCTTCTTCAACTTCTTGATTATCATCTTCATTACCTGCTTTTAGGGCTGTTAACCATTGTAGTATCTCTGCTCTTTCTTCTTTGATCCCCATGTGTTTTCGTAGTAATTGTTTTTCTGAATCATCTAGTTCTTTTAACCTTTTTTCGAAGTATCTGACTAGTGTTTGTTGATCTGTTGGATTATCTGCTGGAACTGAGGTTTTGAGGTCGTTTTGGTGTGTTCCTCTCTTTAGTTTAATGGTTGTGTTCAAGGTTTTGACTTGAACTTTTGTTCCTTGCGATTTTAACCCTTGCTTGGCTAGAATGGAGTTGATGAGATTCGGAAAGATTAGTAGGGCTTTTGAGTCTCTATTTTCTGCATAGTGTACAATCTGTGAGTGAATAATAGCTCCAAGGTTGATTTTGATCCCCTTCCCTATTTTGTAGAGTAGTTCTGCTAGGCTCCATTTGACTGTAGACTCATGTCGTGATAGCATCCAATTGGCGAGAGCAATCTTCTGTAGTATAGCATACTTGCAAGTTAGGGATGCAGCTTTGATTTTGTTTTTATCAAAACTCACATTTCCGGCTGTAAGTTCACTGGCTACCTGCTCACTTTCTAGTTGAATATTTTAGCCCCCTGAAGGTGTTCCTAGGTGTTCATTGATGATTTCAGGACTGAACACATAGAATTTTCCTCTTAGATAGATTTTTCCAAACATTGGATCAGTGGGATTTGTTGTAGCTTTGGTAAGGTTACTATAAAATTCCTTGATAGCTTGCTCCTCATAGGGGTATATATTCATGACTGACCCTAGAAGTTGATTTTTGGTTAGGGCATCAGATATTTGTTCATGATTTTCCAGCTTTTCTAGTTCTAGAAGTTTCTGATTGATGATGCTTTTCTCCACAAGTTTATTCCATCCTTTGGAATTTTCCCTAGTCAGAAATTTTGGACTATAGGGCTTTGGCAGTTTTGACAGGTCATCACAACTAATAATCTTTTGTTTCCCTTTCTCCTTGGCAGTTAGTTTCCTTCTTTTTCCTTCTGTGGGTTTTGTTACTAATTCTGTGTCATCAGGTATCCATTCATCTTCTTCCTCTGTGTTTTTTTCTTTCTATTTCTTAGTATTGTCTTTTCTTGGAGGAGGTATGTTGGGGGTTCCTCGGGGGGGGGGGGGGGGGGGTCTAGCCGAAACTGGAAAATCATTAGGCCTCTTTGCTCTAGGATCTGCCCCTTCGTAGGGGTCAGATCGTTTCCTTCTCCTCTGTTCTCGGTCGGACAGAGGGTGGTGTGGAGGTGAGGGTTCAACATTGGGATTTTCTTCCTCTTCGTGAGTACAATGAACATTGTCTCTAGTTTCATCCATAGTGGGTGAAGAAATTGTGAAATCTCCATGTAAATCTATTGTAAGATTACCTGGACTAGGGTTTCGAATTTCTTGGATTTCTTCGAACGGTACTTGTGAGATGGGGACCGGGTCCATGATGACGGTGGAGGCTTCTTCTTCTTCAATGCGTACCGGGTTGGATGGAACTCCGGTGCCGGCGAACTATTGAGCTGTTCCTTTCCGGGGTATCTTCCCTTGCCTTTGGTTTCTTGTCCGCACCATTTTTGCTTTGTATGTGAGATGTGGAAGATGATCGTGGGTGATTAATCGATTGTGTGAGAAGAGTGATTTGGGGATTGTCTGAAAATGGACCGGGTTGTGAATTAAGCTGCTGACAACTTATGTTGGGCCTTTTTGTCTCCAATGGGCTTGGTAAACTGAGTATTGCTAGGCCGGAATATGGTATGGACCCTTTTTTTTTTAAATATATATATATGAATATCTATATAAAGAATGACTTGCCCATGTGTTTGATCACAATGTGCACAGTCCTATTTCGACTCTTAGTTTAGCGTATCTATTCCCATCAAGTGCCTTTGTTAGTATATCTGCAAGTTGATTTTCTGTGTTGATATGTGTGAGATTGATAATTTTGTTTTCTACTAATTCTCTTACGAAATGATGTCTGATGTCGATGTGTTTTGTTCTTGAGTGTTGCACTGGATTTTTGGAGATGTCTATTGCACTTTTGTTATCACAGTGTATGGTCATAGTTGTTTGATGTATTCCATAATCTTCTAGCATTTGTTTCATCCAAAGTAACTGTGTACAGCAGCTCCCGGCTGCAATGTATTCTGCCTCGGCTGTTGACAATGATATAGAGCTTTGTTTTTTGCTTATCCAAGATACGAGATTCGTTCCTAGAAAGAAACAACCTCCTGAGGTGCTTTTTCTGTCATCTAGGTTTCCTGCCCAATCGGCATCACAATAAGCTGATAGATGGTGATTGGTATCAAAGGAATACCATAATCCTAATTCGGTGGTTCCTTTAACGTATTTAATGACTCTTTTTACTGCTTTTAAATGTTGTTCAGTAGGATTTGCTTGATATCTTGCGCATATTCCTACTCCAAAGCTTAGATCTGGTCTACTAGCAGTTAGATAGAGTAGTCCTCCTAGCATACTTCGATATAGGGTTTGCTCAACTTGTTTACCCTCTATGTCTTTTGTGATTCTTTCTGTTGTTGGAACTGGTGTTCTGACAACTTTACTTTCTTCTAGTCCGAACCTCTTAACTAGGTTTTTTGCATATTTGCTTTGTGATATGAAGGTCCCACTGTCTTGTTGTTTGATTTGTAGACCTAGGAAATAGGTTAGTTCTCCAACCATGCTCATCTCAAATTCTCCTTCCATGTTGGTGATGAATTGATTTTTGTGCTTCTCAAGTGTTGATCCAAATACTATGTCATCAACATAGATTTGGGCAATTACTATGTCTTGGCCATAGTGTTTGACGAACAGAGTTTTGTCCACGCTACCTCTTCTGTATCCCGTTTTGATTAGAAACTCTGTGAGACGTTCGTACCATGCTCGTGGTGCTTGTTTTAGACCATACAGTGCCTTGTTGAGTTTATAAACACTTTGTGGAAAATGGGGGTCTTCAAACCCTTTTGGTTGGGCAACATAGACCTCTTCTTTTAGACATCCATTTAAGAATGCCGTCTTTACGTCCATTTGGTAGAGTTTTATCTTGAGAATGCAGGCTACTGCTATGAGAAGCCGGATTGATTCAATCCTGGCCACTGGAGCGAATGTTTCCTCAAAATCTGTCCCTTCAACTTGGGTGTATCCTTGTGCTACTAGTCGGGCTTTGTTTCGTATAACGTTCCCTGGTTCGTCTGTTTTATTTTTGTAGATCCATTTTGTCCCTATGATATTGGCATTCTCTGGTTTAGTGACTAACTGCCAAACGTTGTTTCTTTCAAACTGTTGTAATTCCTCATGCATGGCTCCTACCCAAAATTCATCTTTTAATGCTTCCGTAATGTTTTTGGGTTCAATTTTTGAGGTGTAGCAGTAGTCATAGTCTCCTTCTTCCATTTTTTGATAGTCTCGTTTCTTTCCTCTAGTTCTAATTCCTTCATTTAGTCCTCCTATAATGTTTTCTATTGGATGATTTTTCTGTACCCTGGTCTCATCAGTGGTGAGGATTTCTATCTTTTCTTCAGGATCTACAACTTCTTCTTTTTCTAATGATTCTGATTTAGAATTCTGGTTATGCGATGTTGGAACTGTTGTTTCAACAACAGTTATCTCTTCATCATTTGTGGGGGAATCTTCTGTTGTGTCATTGACCACCACATTGATAGACTCCATGACAGTGTCTGTCCTAAGGTTATATACTCGATATGCCCTGCTGTTTGAGGAGTATCCTAAGAAGATCCCTTCATCTCCTTTGATATCAAACTTTCCCAATGGTTCTCTATCTTTTAGAATATAACATTTGCTTCCAAACACATGTGTGTGTTTTAAATTTGGTGTTCTTCCTTTCCAGATTTGATATGGTGTCATGTTAGTTTCTTTTCGAATGAATACTCGGTTTATCAAGTAACATGTTGTGTTAACTGCTTCTGCCCAGAATTTTGATGGAAGTCTTTTGTGATTTAAGAGGACTCTTGCCATTTCTTGGATGGTTCGATTCTTTCGTTCAACTACCCCATTTTGTTGGGGTGTTTTTGGTGCGGAGAATTCATGATGGATTCCATTTTCTATGCAGTATTCCTTGAATTTTGAATTCTCGAATTCCCTTCCATGGTCACTTCTTAGGCGAATGATTTTTCCTATTCTTCCATCCTTTTCATTCTGAATTTTGATAATGAGAGTCTTGAATGTTGTAAATGCTTCATATTTTTCTTTAAGAAAGTTTACCCACGTGAATCGTGAGTAGTCATCAACTGTTACATAGACATACCTTTTTCCTCCTATGCTTTCTGTCTGAGTTGGTCCAAACAAGTCCATGTGAAGTAGTTCTAGTATTCTAGAAGTGTATATTCCTGAGGTCTTCTTATGGACTATTCGGGTTATTTTGTTTTCAAGGCATGCATCACATTTTTTGTTTTCATCTATGTCAAGTGTTGGAACTCCTCGATAGACTCCCTTCTTTAAACCCTTCTTCATGTCATGAAAGTTTATGTGACCCATCCGTTGGTGCCATAGTTGTGTTTGATTGATGGTTGTCTGTAGGCAAGATAGATCACCGTCCCATATGTAGCATTTATTTGTGGATTTTCTTCCGATCATAACACATTCATGATTATGATTGAGAACATTGCAGCTATCTTTTGTGAATTCCACTTTAAGTTCATCTTCACATAGTTGACTTATGCTAATCAGGTTTGCTTTTAACCCTTGTACTAAGAAGACTTTTGACAGTTTTGGCAGTCCGTGTACATTCAGGATTCCATTTGCAATAATTTTTCCTTTTCCTCCATCTCCAAAGGTAACATATCCTTCATCTTTATAGTGTATGTTCTCTAAATTTTCTGGATTTCCAGTCATATGCCTGGAACATCCACTGTCAAAATACCATATATCTTGCTCCTTGTTTGTTTTGGAAGTGTATGCGACATTTTGGTCTTTTCTTACCCAGACTTTCTTGCTATTATTTCTGTTGTGTGGTAGCCATACTCGGTTGTTTTGTCTGTAGTAACAGTCATTTTGTCTTTTGTAACAATGTGCTTTGATGTGTCTTAGTTTGTGACAATAGTAGCACCTTATTCTTCTTCGATGTCGGAAGTGCTGTTGCGACACTTCCTGTATTTCAGATTGGTTATTCTCACTGGTGTCCGTACTTGGAGTCCCGGGTCTTTCGGTAAGCTCCTTAATTTCTTGTAGCAGTTTTGTTTCTCTGTTCTTGAGGTCTAGTAGTTCGTTCTGGGTTTCTTTGTATTGTTTCTCTACTCGCTCTTTTTCATTCTTTAAATAGTGATTATCTTCCATGAGTTCCTAATTTTTCTTGATGATTTGCTCCCATTTGGCATTTAGTTGAGTGTATGCCTCTAGTAACTCTTGCATGTCATCGCTTTTGTTGTCTTCATGGCTAGCAGTAAAGGCTACGAAGTTCGTGTTGTTATCATCTTCTTCACTATCTGAGTCATCACTCAGAGTTGTTATATATGTTTTATTTTTCCTTTTCAAGTATGTGGCGCATTCTGATTGAATGTGTCCAAAGCCTTTGCACTCATAGCACTGTATTCCTTCCGTAATTGTATTATCTCTTCTCTTTGGATTGGATGGTTTTTGATTCGTAGAATTTCCTTGGCTGTTTTGAAAATTTTTATTCCTGGACTTGTTAAACTTTTTGAGAACTCGGTTAAAATTCTTTGTCAATAGGGCGATTGACTGCTCCAAGGTTTCTGAATCAGTTTCTGAGTTCTCTTCTTTTCTGGATTGTAGTGCTATTCCTTTACCATTGTTTTTCTGGCTTTGTAACATCTCAAGTTCATAGGTTTGAAGATTTCCTATTAGGTCACTAAGTTTGTATGTGTTCAGATCTTTATTTTCTTGGATAGCGGTGACCTTCATTTGGAATCTCCCAGGTAGTGAACGGAGTACCTTTTTGACGATTCTATGTTCGGGTATAGGTTCGCCTAGGTTGAATGCATCTCCGGATATGCTTAAAACTCTGGCACTGAATTGGGTGATGTTTTCTTCCTCCTCCATTTTCAGGTTTTCAAACTCAGTTTGTATCATCTGAAGCTTAGATTGTCTTACAGTTGTGTTTCCCTCATGATGATCGCACAATATACCCCATGCAATTTTGGCTATGCGAGTTGATGCGATTAGCTTAAATGTGTCTTCGCTTACCGCTCCATATATTGCATTCATAGCTTTTGAGTTAAAGTCATATTCTGTTCTTTCTTCTTCACTCCAGTCAACTCTAGGTTTTGTATTTCCTTTGTCATCGACTGGAGTTTTCCATTCGTTTTCTATTGCATTCTAGACGCCTTCTCCTTGTGCTAGAATGTATATCTGCATTCGAGCTTTCCAGTAGGAGAAGTTTGTGCCAAGTAGAGCCGGTGGTCTATTGTTTGAAAGACCTTCTCTTGGGAACTCCATTTGGATCCTGCTAATAACTTGAGCAGACCTGCTTTGATACCAATTGAAATTAAGATACATGATGGATTCGTGTATGTTGAAACTGGAGATGTGACACAATAAACTTATAACGCAGTTCGGGCAAACAACCCTAAACTACGAGGCACTTCTCGAATTGAGAATTTGCCTAAATCCACTAAAAGCTTGATATTTAAAGTACACTTGGTTTAAGGAACGGGGATTACACAATATGATATCCTATCAAATTATTGTAACCTAAACACTTGTACTACTTTTCAAGGGAATTTTGGTATCTCTTCTCAATGACTCTCGTGCTCACAGTTAGGTGTTGAAAGCGTAAGTTCTTGTGATTGAGAGTGACTTCTTTTATAGGATCAGATATCCTTAGCTTGTGTATGAATAGGTTTGTTAATCCTAATCATAGTTGGATTATAATACCCAGTATGATTAGGACATGGTTTTTGCACTTAACATTTTGACAATTCACCTGAGGTCAACACTTGCCTTGAACTAAACTTCAGGTTTATGTCCAATTTATTTATAACAGAAATCAGCAATTGTATTTGTTTGGAAAGATTGAGAACTTTTAAGCACTTAGTAAGTGTTAGGAAAGAAGAGCAATCTTCAAGATGCTGAAAACTATTTGGAAAAACAAATGTCCTAATCTTTCCAACATAGGCATCAAAATACAAATTTTTGCATCAAAATTGCATTGCAAACAATACAAGAGAAGATGCTAAGGATATCAGGGGAAAGAAATGTCCAACAGTATATGAACATAATATTTGCTGCATTGTCATCATAAAATATAAAAATTAATGAATTTGATTTATGATATTGATCCAGTTCAAAAGGCTCCAATTCATAATTTGCAATATGCTAATTTGTTTCATTTTGGATATTGCATTCACAATGGATTAACATAGGGTAGGAACCATACTAGGATGATGATTAATATGTTATGGTTGTTAGGTATGATTATGTTGGGTTGACTAACTGATTTCGTTATTGTTTTTCATTAGTCATGTCTACAGAGAATTCATCTATCTCGCAAAATTCATACACTTCAAGTAGTGTGGTTGGTGAAAGCAATGAAACTAATAATGAAGTGCAAGAACAAAATGAAGGATTTGAAAGCGTAGAATTACATTCAGATGGTCATGACACACAACAAAATGAAGAAATAGAAAAACAACAAGAGTTTCAAACTTACAAGAGAAGAAAGACCTCAGGTGACATGGAACTAATGAGGGAGTCTGCTGCTCATTGGATCATGATGCATGAACATCCATTTACCATTTTGGAGGAAGTAGGATTTAACCTCATGATGAAAAGTGGAATGCCCGAGTGGAAAAATATTAGTAGAAACACAAGCAAATCAGATTGTTTAAAGGTTTATGAGATTGAAAAGAAGAAGTTGAAGAACAATCTTAAATGTGTTAGTAAAGTAAGTTTGACAATAGATTGTTGGAAATCAAAAAATCAGAAGATTGAGTATATGGTTGTTACTGGGCACTGGATTGATTTTTCTTAGAGGTTGCAGAAGAGAGTTTTAAGTTTCATTAACATTCCACCACCGATGGGAGATATTCAGATTTCTGATGCTATATTTAGATGCATGAAAGAGTGGGGCATTGAAAAAAAAGTTTTTACAATTACAGTTGATAATGCTTCAAGTAATGATTCTGCTATTCGGTACATGAAGGATATACTTCAAAGGTCAATAAGTTTGGTATGTGGGGGACGTTTATTTCATGTTCGTTGTTGTGCGCACATTTTGAACTTGTGTGTTCAATATGGATTAGATGAGATTCAACACGCCATTAGTGATGTTAGAGATAGTGTGGAATATGTGAACCGGTCGGAGGCCAGGCGTATACAATTTGCAGACTGTGTGCAACAATTGCAATTGAAAGATAGGAAATTGATTTGTGATTGTAAAACTAGATGGAATTTGACTTTTGAGATGTTAAGTTGTGCACTCAAGTTCAAAGAAGCTTTTAAGATGCTAAAAGATCGTGATCCATTCTTTGACCGCTGTCCATTGGAAGATGATTGGGATAAAGTTGCCAAACTTTGCTCAATTTTAGAGACTTTCTGGACAGCTACTCACATTATTTCAGGTTTTTTTTTTTAACTTGTTTTTTAAATTTGGTTTAGGTTGTGACTTGTGAGTATCTGAATTCAAATTTGTTTCAGGTTGTGAGTACCCTACTTCAAATTTGTTTCTTCATGAAGTTCAAAAAATCAAATCAGCATTGGATAGTCATGTAGATGATGAAGATTCCTTTATTAGGAATTTGGTTAGGAGAATGAAGATGAAGTTTGATAAATATTTGGGAGAGTGTAATTTGTTGATGGCTATAGCTGTTGTCTTTGATCCAACAAAGAAAATGCTTGGAGTTGAATTTTGTTTCTCTAGACTTTATTCTAATGATGAAGCTAAGGAGAATATAGCAAAAGTGAAGGAGATCATCAATATTCTTTATGAAGAGTATGTTGTTGAATCAATGAACAAAAACAATTATGAAAATCCAGGTTCTTCTAACACTTTTGGAAGTCAAGTTAGCCATCAAAGTTCTATATATACTTGGGATGAATTTGATGCATATTGTGCACAAGTTGAAGCTTCAAAGCCTAAAAGATCGGAGCTAGTAGACTATCTAGAAAGTCGACGTCTTAAGACAAATGAGGTTCCTAGCAACTTTTCTTGTTTAGACTGGTGGAAGATGAATAGAATGCATTATCCAATATTGTCAAAAATGGCAGCAGATATTTTAGCTATACCTCTTAGCACCGTGGCTTCAGAAGCAACGTTTAGCGCTGGGGCAAGGATAATTGATTCTTATCATGCATCATTGTTGCCTGAAACGGCACAAGCTTTACTTTGTGGTAGTGATTGGCTTCGACATATACACGGAGTTACTAAAACTAAAGTAAGGTAACTTTTATGTTAAATGATACATTATGTTTTTAATTACATACTTATTTATCTTTTTTCTTTTTTCAGAAAGAGAAATCATACTAAAAAATTTTTCTTCCGATATCCAATTCATGAAAGTAAGTTACATATTTTTTTTTAATTTAATATTCTTGACTTATCTTTTAGTTTTGAATTTCTTAAATTGTGTAAATGTATTGTCACATAACATGTCTGATTATTATGCATATTATGCATATTTTTTTTGCAAATTGAACAGATATTGTTTTGAACTGCTTATCCCGGAAGAAATATCTTGAAATGTGCAAGGAATGAAGAACCACTATTGCAGTGTTGTTGACTTGTAGTTTGATGTGAAGTTGTGAACTTGTTTTGAGTGCTTTGAACATTGAAGTTCGGCCTTTTGAATTTTTTAAAATTTTAAATTATTATTTATATATGGGTACAAGTGCAACAATTTTTATTATTAATGAAAACATGAAGTTAAATAGGAGGAACTCGAGCATAAAATTCAGAGCAACCTTACTTAAGCTTGAGTTCAAATTCGAGCCATTTTGAGTCAAACTTTGACTCGAGCTCAAGTTTAAGTTTGAACAGTCGAGCCAAGCTCGAACTGCTCAAAAGTTCACGAGCTGAGCTCAAGCTCAGCTCGGGTCATTTACACCTTTATTGTTGAGTTTCTAACCTTGGTCACTTATTCTAAATATTATTTACGGAATCAGTAAGTTATCTTGGTCTTTTGCCCTAAATATTACCTACTGAACAAGTAAGCTAAGTTCATGCAGGCAAAAGCACCACATTTTCTAAAAAGCTTAAAAATGTGTTGCTAGAAGGCATTTTTTCACACACAATGCAAGTAAGAACACAGTCAAGGGAGGTTTATGAGAAGAATCGTATGACGTGATTGACAAATAAAAAACTCTTTTTATTAATTGCCGATCATAAATTGATCGGTAACATCCCACATTAAAAATATATATATTTATAGTCACGTTATATGATTTTGGTGAAGTATTTTACTCCCTGTAACTGGATCCAAAATTTAATAATTATAAATTTACTAACAATAATTACTTAAAAAATTAAATAAAAATAAATTACTAATTAAAAATTAAAAAATTAAAACAAAAAAGTTAAAAAGTTAAGATAAAAAGAGTAAATTTCAATTTTAGTCACATGATTATAGGGGTTTTGTTAATTTCACTTTCAAAAGTGTCAATTTAGTACCTTGACGATGCAATTCTTATCAATTTTGGTCACTCCAGCCAAATTGCCGACTAAATTTGGCCGAAAAATATTAATGGTTAAAAAATTGAGGGTATTTCTTTTTTGCATGTATTATTTTTTTCTCCCCATTTCTTCATCGGATCTTTAGAAATTCGTCGGAGAAGATAGAAATAGCCGGTGGCATGGTTGCCGGAAGGCGACGGTGGTCCAGGAGACGGACTTTTTTTCCAGAAATTCGTAATTTCCTGGATTATGCTGCAACTAATAGGATTGAGAAACCAGAATCTACTCCGAGTGCTCAGAATGGCCAGAATCAAGGCACGGAGGCAGAGGAGATTTACGATGCGGTAAATCCAGGTTGTAGATTGCTTGAGTCTCTCTTGAAATCTTTTGCGGATGCTGTGAGGGGAAACAGACGTGATCGATAAGCAAATACGACTAAGAATCAGTCGAATCAAGAGCAGACAACAGCAATTCCAAATAAGAGAAATCAAAATAAAACACAGAGTACGATACGATAGTGCTGGTGGAGCGATCAATTGCGATTTGCGACGAAGCAAGATCGGCCGATAGTGAGATTTAGGAGAGATGAATGGAGGAAATTAGTAGAGAGTGATGGCAAATTGGACTGCTCAATGCTAAAAATATACTGATTAGGTTTCCGGAGGAGAAGGAATGCGACCGAATTTTGGCCAAAGGCTAGGTGATTATCGACGGAAAGCTCCTTAGGTTTTTCAGATGGCCACCAGGATGGAGTGCGAAAAAGGACTTGCCGTATGCGGCAGTCTGGATACTAGGGATGACAACGGGGCGGGGCGGGAGAGGGGAGTATACTCCCCGTCCCCGTCCTCGCTACCCCGACCCCATCCTCGTCCCCATTCCCGTACCCAGTGGGGAATTGAAAAAATTCCCTGTTCCCGTCTCCGCGGAGAATTTTGGCGGGGACGGGGAATCCCCATCCTTGGTCAATTCATAGTCAAAAAAGGATTTCAAGATAATATCACTGCTTTGTATCATCTTATTTAATATTTTACCATTTATTTTGTATTGTCTAGAATCATATGATAATCAAGTGAGTAAGATTATTTATCATAACACTAGTTTGAGATTATCAAAATTAATGATACAGTATAAATAATTTACAGTATAGTACACTGCAAGCAAATTGAAATCTCTTATGACTACTTTATGAGAGACATTGGGATACAGACATAACAGGATACAAATTGAAATCTCTTAATTCTAAATTGTAATAATCTAATTATATATATATATATATATATATATATATATATATATATATATATATATATATATATATATAATTCGGGGACAGGGCGGGGATGGGTATCCCCGTCCCTGTCCCCATCCCCGACGGCGGTGGGGATACCCAATAGGGATGGGGCACATTGCCATCCCTACTGGATACTGAATGTCGAAGAGGAAAGGGCGGTGGAGGGATAGAGGTTGCTCCGATAGTTGTGGCGGAGAATGAGAGAAGCGGCGATGGCTTGGTGGCGCCTGTGGAAGAGGATGAATTGTGGGAGAAGAATAGAAGAGGGGTGAAATGACTAAAATATCCTCAATTTTTTAATCATTAATATTTTTCAGCGAAATTTGGTCGGAGTGATTAAAATTTACAAAAATTATATAGTCAAGGTACTAAATTGACACTTTTGAAAGTCAGGTGCTGAATTAACAAAGTCCCTATAGTTATGTGACCAAAATTGAATTTTTCTCAGATAAAAATTAAAAATTAAAAATTAGAAGAAAAAAAAAAAAGCTGGCCACAACGGCAAACATGATTTTGTGAAAAAAAAAAAAAAAAAAAAAAAAAAAAAAAAACAAATCTTCAATTGACATTGAGTTCTACCATGCTTACTCTCAAATTCTACTCTCTTATTTATACTCCCTGAGGTGGCAAACTAAGATTGGTCATTTTCATCATATGCGTCCACAGAAAAAATGTCTACATAAATAACATGTAAGAGGAAATAAAAATAAGGAGTATAAAATGAGAATACACCAAGTATTTTTCATTGACATTTGAAAGTGGCAGGCCCATGTAATCACACGTTTCTCTGTTCCCTTCCTTTTCTTTTTTTTTAAAAAAAATGAAAATGTTTCTTAACTTGCAGGAGAAAAAAATTGCTAAAATCCCCACCTCCCATTTGTCAAAAGCTTAACCGTGAAAACTTTACTATTTCAAAAGCTTAGCATGAATTACCTATTGGGGTTGTTCTTAGAAGACAACATCAATACAACAAAATTAGAGTCCCTATAAATAATAGGAAAGATAGAGGATAATGATGAACAACAATAGGATATATCCGAAGAGAGGATAAAAATAAAACTCCAAAAAAGAGAGCAATTACATATGTGAGAAAATGGTTTCTACCTTTGGTGAAGTCTTTTTTTTTTTTTTTGAATGATACTGACTCTAATACAATCTCAATCTAATAATGAAGCACAAAGAGGTGTTATAAATTTCTCAACCTAATGAATCACAAAGAGTCAATGCCACTTCCACTGAAGTTCAAACCCACAACCTCCTATATGAGAGCCCAACTTTGGTGCCATTAGACCACAAAGTCTTGGCCCTTGGTGAAGTTTTTAATCGACTTAAAAAAGTTAAATTTGACCTATAAATGGTAGGATTATTTTTCCAAGGAGAATAGGAAAGTATAAAACTTATTCAATTACATAATATCCTTGTTGGTGTCAAGTTAAAAAAGTTTTTTTTAATAAATATATCGTATTTGTCGCTTGCTTTACATACTTGAACAAAGATAACACTTCACCATTGAAGAAATGATCCCAACTCACCATTGAAATCGAAACTTACTAATTAAAAAATGTGTGTATGTTTAAGCTAAAGCGCCTCAAGGAGTCCTTAAAAGCTTGGAACAAAGACATCTTTGGGAACGTCTTCGGCCGGGTAAAAGATTTGGAAATACGGGTTGCTGAAGCCGAATTCAGGCATACTGCCAATTCGACCAGGGATAACCGTCTAGCTCTCCATGCCCTGTAGGCACATCTTTTGCTAGTTCTCAAGCAAGAAGAGTGCTTCTGGAAGCAAAAGGCCCGAGTGAAGTGGTTGCGAGAGGGTGATGCCAATACAAAATATTTTCACTCAGTAGTGAAGGACAGACATCGGAGGCAATGAATCTCTTCTGTGAGAGATGCTTCAGGTCAGTTATTAATCACGCAGGATGAAATCAAAGAGGAAGCTGTCAAATTTTTCACCGACCTATTACCGGTTCAGGATAATCAGGGGACGACCAATTTGCTCCAGTGTCTGAATACGATCTTGAGCCCTCAAGATGCAGACTCTCTCATGGTGTCACTCTCGCATGAAGAGGTTAACGATGCCGTTTGGAAACTAGATCCTGATAGTGTAGCTGGGCCAGACGGTTTCTCGGGGATGTTCTTTCGTCACTGTTGGGATATTGTGAAGGATAATGTCTTCGGGGCCGTGCAAGACTTCCTACTAGGGGTTCCTGTTCCCCGGGCAATGGCAAGTGCGCAAATTGTGTTGATCCCGAAGAAGACCCACCCGGACTCTTTTGCAGATTACAGGCCTATATGCTTGTTCACCTTTATCAGTAAGGTTCTCACAAGATTACAAGCCACCAGGTTGTGTTCTATCTTGCCGAATTTGATTTCCAGGGAGCAATCGGGCTTTGTGGCAGGGCGCAGTATCCAGGATAACATTTTTCTTGCTTTTGAATTGCTACAGTTTATCGACAAGAAATGTCGGGGCTCTAATGTCATTATCAAGCTGGATATGATGAAGGCCTTTGACAGGGTATCCTGGCCTTTTCTTCGGGAGGTTCTGATGAAGTTTGGCTTCCCGGATTTGTTTGCCAATCTCATTATGAACAACTTGGCG